AGGTGACTTTGCTCTATGAGATGAGTCATTGTTTACTGCCCCCCCCCCAAAAAAAAGCAAATTGACCCCATTCATATATATTTTCCCCCCAAGATAAAATAGATTAATTTTAGGCATTTACATGATAAGAGTAAATGGAGTACCTAGAGATAGACAAAGTTTGACTCCAACAAATCATTTCTCGATCAAATTTGCCCCAAAGGAGATAAACTAGTTGAAATGGCTCAAGAGACTGGGTATTCCTCATTGGGCATTCACACCACACTGGCCTACTGAAGACGGGATTAGAGAGTTTTTTGTCTGTTGAGCACTTAAAAAGATGAAGGATTTTTACGCCATCTATATTTTTTACTAAAGACCTGAAGAGGCCAAGTGACCACTGTTGGCGAACCATGATAAAAACATTAGACTTCCTCCACCCGTGAGACTCTCAAACTAAGAAGGAACCTGATTGAGGTTCAATGATCATCAAGAATTTTGACATAGTCTCCAAATTGTGGACCTAAAAACTACAGGACACGCTCTGTCAACAAGCCCACTTGCCAAGTCCGGCTGGTAGGACATCGAGTGGACTCAGAATCGGAGGCTGTAGGCTGCAAACACAAGCACAGAGTCACATTCAGTGGGGGCAGTGTGTGTGTGGGGGGCAAAAGTAATCCATGCCCTCGACTGCTAACTGAAAGGATGAGGGTTCTAGTCCACCAGGAGTACCTTGGAAGAAAGGTCTTGGAGGTCTACGCCTGGAACATCAGTCCCCAGGAAAACGGATGGGGCCCCGGTACACTCGGGGCCACGACGAGTCAGAATGGACTCAGGGGGGAGGAGTAACTGTGGCGTGTACTTATGGGGTTCTTTCTGTGTGCACAGCCCTTCCTGATCTTCCTGATCAAGCTCATCTGATCTTGGTAGCAGCTTCCTGAGTGAAGGGATTCACGTTTCTCCCCCTGATCCTGACCTAACCCTAGCCCTAACCCGTTGAGGCTCCAGAGAGGCCTCACAGCTCATCTGAATCACAAAGCCCAGCAATGGTGGAGCTGGGTTGATGAGCCCTCTCTCACAAGCAGAAGGGCCTTGGAAGACCTTTTTTTTAAAAGCTGCTGCTATTGGGTAATCACACCAGGCTGCTAACAGCAGGTCGGGGTTTCAAATCCACCAGCAGCTCCTTGGGAGAAAGAGGGACCTCTCTGCTCCTATAGTGATATGCAGCCTTCGACTGCTTTTATAGCGTTGCTACGCATCAGAATTGACGCGTTGGCAGTGGGTTTGGGCTTTCTTCGGCTTTTGCTTTTCTTCACGAACTCTTTCCTTAAGTAGGTCGCTATCATAGTGCCTCGGGATGGAGATTGCCAAAGAGATGGCCTGGGCTTCAGCCTGCCCTCAGAGAGAGAGAAAACAGAGAGAGCTTCTTCCTTGTTCGAGGATAGTGGGAAGTTATTTTTCCTAATCTTGGATCTCTCTAGGGAAGACCTCCGCTGAAAGTAAAGCTGGCCCTTCCTAGACCATGTTAGTATATATTCTGGCAGGCAGGAAGTTTATGTAAAGCCTAAAACCTCACTGATACCATGTCAGCCCCCTTCTTCTTTTCCAGCCCGGTGGGAATGTAGAGGCTCTTTCTCAAACCTCTTGGTCTCCACTGCCAGGAGAATCATAAGGCTATCTCCTCCCTCCAAGTTAATACCCTCATTTCTCTGAGCTATTTAAACATGAATCATTGTAGTTATTCTTTACAACTTCTGAGTTCTTATTTAAGCTGGGAGCTCTATAAGGAACTACCAGTTACTGTAGAACAGTATGTCCCAGAGAGAGCACTGGGATGATCCAGGCAGTGGGGTGGGCTGCGGAACAGATGCCTAACATTTTATCCTGGATTAGGGGCTATACCTCACTGCCAGCAGGTCGACCATGACTCATCGCGACCCTATAGGAGACCCATGTAGGCTTCAGAGACTGGAACATTTTTGGTAACAGTTTTATTGGCCTCTATCTAGCATGCCATTCAATAATTCACTCCTATCAAGAAAAGCTATGGGAGACTGCAGCTCTTTACAAAAGCAGCGTGCCCCATCTTTCTCCCATGGGCTATAGTACAAAGTTTGTCATTACCAGAAGGTACTGAGCAGGTCTTTTTTTACGTTTTCCTTTCTGAAAACGGGGCAGTAGGCCAAGTGAGTTTGGGAACCTACGCAGTAGAGGACTGGGCATATCAGTTCAACTGCTTGATCAGGAAGTCACCCTCTGAGGTTGGGTTACTGACCTCCTTTCTACTGAATGAGGAAGCAGAGGCTTTGAGCAGCCAGATTTGAGCCCTGTGCATCCAGCTCCCTCCGTGGGTGACGTGGCCCTTGTTCGTTTCATCTGCTGAAAATGTGGCTTGAGAGAAGGCCCTGCTTTGGTGGGAGAGTCTTTTCTGGTACCCTAAATACTGAGTTGTTCTCCATCCCAACATCATTGGCCATGTAGCTGGAAAGCGAATGACATTCATGGTGCGAGACGAGGAATTCGTACATCAACATCAGCGCTAACAAGGACCAGCCATGCACGTTTAAAATCTTGCTCATCTCTCCTGCCTTGGGTGTTTTTAAAGTACAGGCGGTGCTCATGACTTTTATGATGGAGTAAGTAGTCCCTCCGATTTCTCAAGGAAGATTTCATTAACCATGCACAGTACCAGACCTGAATCCAAATCTCAAACTCAGGTAAATGTTCCCCCAAATGGAGTGAGATGGGATTTTCCCTGTATGTCTGCCAATGTCTATATACATCAGAAAAATATCCAGACATAGCTCATTATTTCTAACCAAGGAAATACGTTCTTAATTGAGACAGTCTTTAAATACGTGGTTTCTGAACTGAATAAACAGGGAAACAGCTCAAGCTAGACGGCTCTGATGGTTCAGAAAAATAAAGACTTTAAAAGAGGGATCACCTGAGACAAACCCATCTTGTCATACTCATTTTCAGTCTTAGAAGCAAACGGAGATCCACTCGGGGGTTGATAATTGTTTTACAATGAAGTCATTCATTTCAAAGGACGGTAGGGGATTTGGGAGTCATTTGAAGATCCCATTCAGATGTAAGAGGGGGCTTTAAAACATTTGTGGGAAAGTTCCGTTATCTTTTAATTCCACCCCCCCACCCCAGACATGTTGAGACCGCCTCCTATCAACTCTGGTTCGTGTTTGTCTGAGTCTAGACACTGTTCCCGGGGCACCAGGTGATGGACAGCAGACAGGGACTGGTAGCTTCTGAGTGCCTGCGTAGGGACGCCTGCTCCCTTCATCGCTCCCGGCGCACTTTTTTACATTTTTGTGATTCAAGGGTTGCTAACCTTTTAACAAAACGAGGACACGAGAGCTCAGAGAAGCAGAGAGATTCACCCAAGATCACACAGCTAGAAAATAGAAGTCTCAGAGTGAACCTAATTTTTACGAAATCGGAACCTAATTTCATGCATTGAGAAATCCCCCTTACTCCGAGACAACAGGCTATCTGTCCCAGGCGCTAGGCCTGATGTGTCCGAATTTTAAACATCAATATAAAGCAGCTTAAATAAGCAGAGGAAACATCCATTATGAGACACATGCTCAGGATTCAACTTGATTAGCCTTCAACTACGTGGAAAACATCTGCGTGGTCTTGAGTTTGTTCTTCCCCAAAACCCTGTAGAGAAGCAAGAGGTGATATTGTCAATTAGTGCTAGGCACATAGCCCAAACGAGTTGCCTCCCCATCGTTTTTTATTCTTAAGGTGACTATAGGTAGCACCAGACCACATTCCAAACACGTGACATCCTTTCAACAGATTG